AGCTGCTGTAAAAAGCAGAACGATTGTCAAAAGTTCCGGTGTAGTTCAGTGCGGACAGTATCATTGTAGAGCGACCCTTCGGTTAAAACGCGAATTATTGTATTCTTTCCCGTAAAAAGGTGCAAGTTAGATTATTTATCACTTAGAAACAAGTTTCTTTCCCCTAAAAAGGTGCAAGACAAATAATTTAACACTTAGAGTTGATAATTTTGCTATTTTAACTGTCGTATTTGTGATTAATAATTAATAGTATAAATTTCACTAATTCTTTCCATAAAGGTGCAAGTTATAATTATTTGTCACTTAGAAACAAGTTTCTTTCCCCTAAAAAGGTGCAAGATAAATAATTTAACACTTAGAAAACGTGAAACTGTTATTTTAGCACAAAAACTGTTATAAAGTTGTGAATATTACACAAGTGTAATAAAACAAACTTTCAGTTTCATTCAATTGAAACGAGTTCAAAACAAGAAAACCAATTATAACAACCCTGCGATAATTTTGTCAACGAATCTGTAATTAAACGTAAGTAACAATTTGTAACAATTGTAACTTTCTTCTTACTATAAACAATAAATTAAATAAAAGGAATATTTATCTTGTTATTAACGCAAAGCCCATAGTTTTGACAGGTGATCACGATCCTACAATAAAAATAAAGATCAGGCTTTACCAACCTGATTAATCAGCTAACTGGTTTTAAAATCTATTTTAAATAAATTATTTAATTTTATTTAAAAGCCTCGCTCTTGCTCGGAACGTAACAGCTGATTTGGTGGCAGCGGTGGGATTGTCACTTTTGTTATAAACAAATTAATTATTCTAAAACAATTTTAAAATTTTTGAATAATTTTGAAAACAATTTTGAATTTTGAGAGCCTAAATTCCTTCTAAATTCAATAATTATACTTAAACCCTCATTCAAACCAAACCAATTCCTAATTGTTTATAAATTTCATAAACAATTTCCTTAATTTCATTATAAAATCCTGTAATTTGAGCTGCTTTTGCGCCGTTCGGCGAATCTCGGCTTGAATTAAGAACAGTTTGCGCCGTCCGGCGGAGCCGTTCAATTAAGGATTTTCCTTCATTTTAATTAAGATAAAATTGTGATATTATTATTACGCCGTCCGGCGAATTTTAATTGATCAAACGACATATTGCGCCGTCCGGCGAACCTGTCATTTTATCTGTTCCTTTCATAATTTTTCTAATATTCTAAGACTCTACAAATTGTCAATTGTTTTTGAAATATTTGAATCATTTTTAAAGACATTAAAATACAAAAATGTCTTTTATTTTCAGTTGAATAAATGATGTGTGATAAAACTCCAACAACAAAGAAAATTAAGAATCGAGGAGGAGTAAAAGCACAACGAAGATTCAATATTCAAACATCATTAGAATCAGAAAAATTCTCAGAAAATCTAAATTCAATAGCAATAAAAGAAATAGAAACACAAAAGAATTTTCCAATTTCTTTGAAAATTTATTAAATAAAACCGAACAAATTTTGAAAAACAAGTAAATGTACTTAAAATTCTAATAATTAATAAAATAAAACCTTACTAAAACTAATGTGTTTCGTTTATTGTTGCATGCTCTTAGTATATGTAATATTAATTGCAGTAATTTGGTATACCAGTCCAAAAAAGGAAAAATTAATATTAATTCATAAAAATCAATAAATCTAATAAATTTTAAACAAACAAAAATTTTGATATTTATTGTAAATGAATAATTATTTTAATTTTAATCGATTTAACTATCCACACATCGAATTAATCTCAGGCGATTTAGTAGCACACAAAGGAATTTTTCTAATAGATAATACTAATCGATTAAACTTAATAAAAGAAACCAAATTATCTTCATTTGTCAATATCAATAGAAATATTCGATATACAGGTCGACATAATTCATTTCATACTAGAGGTAGTGCTATAATAGAATTTCATGATTTTTCCTTAAAATTTGAAGTTATCGATTACGAGAATAATTCCGAAATTATTGGCATTTTAGGCGCACCATTTTTAGATCAGTTATTTGAAACTAATCATTTCAGTCGAATTGCTATAGATTACGATAGAAGAGCGCGAAGACGTGAAACATCAATTCGACAACGATTTATTAGACGCATTTGCGGAATTTTACGAAATTCGTCTTTCCGAAAATTTCCATGAATTGTTACGTCAATAATATCGAATTCAATACCGATATTTTTCCAAATATTCATATATCTTCACCAAGTTTAAAAGAGAAGAGAGGTCTTTTCTTAGTGAATCCTGCTTTAAACATTAATTTAATAAACGAAAGAAAATTAGCATCAGGTATAATAATCGATAGAACAGAATTGATTACTTTAAATTCAGGCTCATTTGTTACTTCTGGAACAACAGAAATAATAATAGCTCAAAAACCAATCAAATTTCGAACTTATATTAATAGCAGACAAAACGAATTGACAGGTATATTGGGATTGTCTTTCCTAAATACCAATCCTAGTGAGTTTACATTTTAAACTGCTATCGATATTAATATATGCAATATTTTTCATTAATAACAACAATTATTGTTATTACAATATTTTCCCTAATTTGGTGCCTAAAAATTTGGCATATCTTTCAAAATTTTAAAATCAATAATTTACAAAATATATTGATTTAAACAATTCCTCGCGCGAGAAAAAGATTAGGAGAATATATTAATATAAGAGGTCATAATTAAATTCGCGCGGTTAATATAATTAATCATCGTTTCATTGACATAAACTACTCATGGACTTCGCGCGCGGAAGCTACAAGTAGTACGCCACGAGACAAGTCAGACGTCCACTTAAAGGCAACTCTCACACGTATCTTAAGCTGGTCGCGATTCCTCCAGTAATCCGCCATCTTGAACTTCTTTATGAATTCATATTTTCACTTCTTAATAAAAATAACGAATTATATCCTCAATTATTATTAAATTCATCTTTCTTCATCGGTAACGAAGGTCGATTTATATTAGATCCTTCTTTACCAATAAATTTAATCAAAGAAGACGAAATTAATCCTTTCCTAGGAATAAATCGTGTATTAAAATACTTTTTAAGAGACGGTACTATACGAACACACGGAGAAGCAAAGATCTGTATTAATTATACTGTAATAGAATTTCAAACAATAATTTGTGACGACAAATCAGACATTATTGGAGTTTTAGGACTACCTTTTTCATTTGATATTATTAACGAATTATTCTAATTAATAACAAAATGACTCGTAAAAATAAACATCAAAAGAATTATACAGACAGAAGTGATGATGATGATAATATTACTCACACCAATGGTGCAACCTTTGCAACCTCTATGAATAGAACCCTTCATGACACTATGGTTAATTCTATGGCAGAATGCTTTGCTTTACAACAAGGTATAATGAATATTCCTTTTTACGACGGGCATAACATGCCAGTCAAAGATTTCATTGAAGATATTTTGAATGCTGCATCATCTATTCCAAAGAATTGCGAAGATCAGTATTTGAAATCTATTCTTGCTAAGTTAAAAGGTGCTGCTAGAAGTAGTACTCAAGGTAAGTTTTCGGAACCATTAATGAATTAATAGAACACTTAAAACAAAGATATTCCACTCATAAATCATATGCATGGTATTTGCAAGAAATATCCACAATTCGTATGAACCGTAATGAAAATGTTAGCGAATTTTATGACAGATTGTCTCAATTATTAGCAGGAGCAAATGCAACCCTCGCAAATTCATATGGAGCCCCTAATGCTAAAATTCAAATGGAACCCCTAAATTGTTGTGCCATGGAATCTTTCATTAAAGGACTTCCAGACTCAATGTCCACTGTAATAGAGGCACGAAATCCTGAAAAACTTAAAGACGCCTTTGAAATTGCCCTACAATGCGAACAACGTCACGAAAGTTATAAGCCTGATTATAATGCTTATCATTATTCACGACATCAACCACAAGATTATAGATATCGAGAAAGAAGTCCAAGTAATAGAGTACAATTCTCATATCCTTACGATCAAACGAGATATCGTTCTCAATCACCTACTCCTACGGGAATATTGAGAAATCCATATCCTCCATATATGCAAAACAATCATTATCCACAACCATATCCTAATCAACCTAATTTTCATCTTCCTAACGCTTATATGCCTTATACATCATATCCCTTTTACCCATATCCTCCTCCACAAGAAGGATATTTAAATAAAAATCAAGATGGAAGTAGAACACCACCTCGTTCTCAATCCCCATATTCATTTGAAAAGAGTAATTTAAACTCAAACACGACTCGACGAACAGACGCGACGACGAGTGCAGATCCCAAAGAGCGTCCAGCCAATGCGAGAATCCTATCGTTACAAAACACATCTTCCACGCCAGAAAATCAAGAGAATCTCCATTAATAATTATAAATTCTCCAAGCTTTCAAACATCATCAGCAATCTTATTAATAGACACAGGAGCCTGATGTAAACATAATTAAGGAGAAATATATTATTGCCAGAATTAAACATAATTCAAGAAGAAGCCATACATATAGCTGGAATCGTTCCTATAAAAATTTTAACACTAGGAACAGTCCAAATTGAAATAAATACAAAACCAATAACTTTCCAAGTAGTTCCACAGATTTTCCTATAGAATCTGACGGCATACTAGGTAGAGAATACCTTCGTGAAGAAAAAGGTTGAAATTTCTTTTTGGCATAATACAATAGGTCACACATTCAAATCCTATAAAACCTATATTTTTCGCAGATAAAGAATCACTGAAGCTAGAGATGCATTTAACCGAAAATAAGGCTAACAAAAGAAGAAATGTAACTATTAAAGCTAGAACAAGACAAGTAATACCAATTGATGTTCTAGATACAGAATTAAAGGAAGGATATTTGCCTTTAATAAAAACAGCAGAAGGATTACTAGTAGGTGAAGGAGTAGTAACGAAACCATGATGGAGTTTGTCATATTTACGCTATAAATATGACATCTGAAGACGCAGAAATCGAAATACCACCTCAAGAGTTAATTCCTTTTGAATTTTACAAATTACCTGGTGAAGATTCAGATGGTTACTCGACAGAAGAAGAATACACACCACCAATAGATAGAGTTTCAGCCATATTAGAATATCTAAGATTAGATCACTTAAACAAAGACGAAAAAGAACATGTAACACAAATTATTAAAGAATTTCCAGACAGTTTTCATCTCCCAGGAGAACAACTCACCCCAACTAATATGGTTCAACATAAAATCATTACAAAAGACGAAATACCAATCCACGTTAAACAATATAGATTTTCACCTACTCAAAAAGAAGAAATCGATAAAGTCATCGATAGAATGAAATCCGAAGGAGCTATAGATTCCTCTTGTTCACCATATAACTCACCATTATTAATAATTCCAAAAAAGATTGACGGAAGTGGTAAGAAAAAGTGGCGAATAGTAATTGATTTTCGAGCACTAAACGAGAAGACAATTGGTGATTGCTATCCATTGCCAAATATTACTGCTATACTTGACACCATCGGAGGCGCTCAATATTTCTCGGTATTTGATTTAGCCAGTGGATTCCATCAAATTGAGTTAGACCCTAACGATAGGTCAAAAACAGCATTTTCTACTACACATGGACATTATGAATACATAAGAATGCCCATGGGATTAAAAAATTCACCATCAACGTTCCAAAGATTAATGGATCAAGTTTTAACTGGACTTCAAGGTGTTGAATTATTCGTGTATTTAGACGACATCGTAGTGTACGCAAATGATCTAGAAGAACATGGCAAGAAGGTAAGAAGATTACTACAAAGATTAAAAGGTGCCAACCTTTCATTACAACCAGAAAAATGCGAATTTCTTTTCAAAGAAGTAGCATACTTGGGACATATAATAAGCAGTGAAGGAGTAAAACCTAATCCAAAAACTGTAGAAGCGGTTAAAAATTTTCCGACTCCTAAAACACCAAGAAATATAAAACAATTCTTAGGATTGGCAGGATATTATCGAAGATTTATCAAGGATTTTTCAGCAAAGGCCAAACCATTGTCTAATCTACTAAAAAAGGATGTAAAATTCGAATGGAAACAAGAACAGGAAGCTAGTTTCAAAGAGCTAAGAGAAGCTCTATGCACTAACCCAATTTTACAGTATCCAGACTATGAAAAACCTTTCACATTAACAACTGATGCATCTGATTTTGCTATAGGTGCAGTATTAAGTCAAGAAAAAGATGGATTTGACTTGCCTATTGCTTATCTTTCCAGAGTATTAAATGCGCCAGAATTAAACTACTCCACAACTGAGAAGGAATGTCTAGCAGTACTATATGCAGTTCATCACTTTAGACCTTATATTTATGGAAAGAAATTCACTTTAGTCAGCGATCATGAACCATTAAGGTGGATTGCCACTATAAAAGATCCAGGACAACGACTTATAAGATGGAGATTAAAACTGAGAGACTACGAGTATGAATTTCAGCATAAATCGGGAAAATTAAACACCAATGCCGATGCCCTATCCAGAAATGTTATAGAAGACGAAATAAATGAAAATTCCCAAATCAACGTTGATCAAAAACAAGTGAAAATTTTAATCAATAAACGTGTTGATAAAATTCCAAAGAAACCAACTAAACCATCAACAACCGCTCTGTCTAATCCTCAAAAGTCAAAAATACAACCTCCAAAATCAATATTAAAACCATCTACTTTAAAATCTACTTTAGAACATAGTACTATTGGTTCAAGACTAGCACAAAGACGAGCTGCACAACAATCTACTTTGAAATCTACTCTAGATCAGAATACTACTGGTTCAAGGTTGACACAAAGACAAGCTTTACAACCATCCACTTCAAAATCCAATTTTAACCAAAGCACTATTGGATCAAGAGTAGCACAAAGACGAGCATTACAACCTAGAGTAAAAACAATAGACGAAGAATCAATTGACAGTAGCACTGACGAAGAGAGAGAGATACCAATTCCTCCCATTCAAAAGGCAAGTAGAAGCTTACTTCCCAGTTTGAAACTTCCACCAGCGGCTTTAAAAAATATACCAGGCCCTAAAAGTGCACCCCCACAAATACAACCCAAAGTTGTAAACTTCCCAATCCCAGAAACCACTGTAATAACAATAGAACCACCAGTTAGCGAGAGTGAAGAAAGCTCTGACGAAGAAGAAGCTAACGCAATGAACTTAAGCAGAAAAGAAATAGCTAAAGATCTAGGAAATTCCATATCTCGTTTTAACGAATATGTAAAACAACATGAAGATTGGCTAATAGACTCACCACAATCCCCTAGAAATTGGCTCACTCTTTCTGACGGAAACGACGATGAAAGTATTCATAAAGCGGCTAATGAATTAATTCCAGGAGACCACACGGAATTTTCACAAAAATTAGATTTCCAATGGGATTATGCCAAAGGCGAATCTATGTGGGAAGACAAACAAATAAACAACTCAAACAATGAAACATTTACTAAAAAAGTTGTAAATCCAGAAGAAACAATACATTTAACACCAAAAAAAGCTCACACGGATATAAACAAGAACAAAAATGTAACTTTCAGATCCACTTCATCAGAACCCAACACACCTGTAGTTTTCAAAACTCCAAAGGCTATGTCAACACCTTATCACACTTCATTACATGAAATAGATGTAGAATCAGACGACGAAACTGACGAAAAAGATGAAACAGATATAGAATCGAATGACGAAACAGACGAAGAAAAAGAAACGGATGAAGAAGAAGAAAGCGATACCACAGAAAATGAAATTGAAGAAAATAAAACTAAGTCAAATTCAATAACAACAACACTCCTAGAAAGTATTCCTCCAAATTTGCCTTCATGTTATTCAAGAATACCAGAAAAACCTTCAAATATTACAAGTCATAGAGAAAATCTAACTTATCATCGGAACAATTACGTGCATTTTCTATCTGCTGATTGTGAATTTACCACCCCAATAAGTAGATTACTTATAGATATTGCAGTAATAGACCCAGAAGAAATTAAAAGCAAAAAGCCCATTAAAGGACAAATTCTAGTAACCCCAAGAGGAAGACACAATGTATATTCCGTAATAGTAAAAGACAACTATTACGATCTATTATTAAAGGAAGACATCATTTCAGGAATACGGAACTTAAAAATTCTCCTGTATAAAGAAAAAGCAAAAGAAATCAGAATTTCTCGACACGGAGACTTCACTGACGAATTAATGAAAGGAGAATTAATGCAAATGATTGAATCAATCTTCTATAACAGCAATATTAATGTAACTATTTGTCATGGACAAGTATCTGTTCCAAAAGAAGAAAATAGAGAAGATATTATCAGTGAATTTCATAAAAGCAAAATAGCAGGACACAAAGGAATAGTAAAAACTTACAGAAGAATTCGCGAAAAATTTTACTGGCCTAGAATTAAAGAACAGGTAACAGAATTTGTAAGAAGATGCCCCACATGTCAAACCCAAAAATTGGTTAGGGCAAAAACCAGAGAACCAATGATTATAACAGACACACCCTTAGACGTTTTTGATAAAGTCTCTTTAGATACTGTAGGAAAACTCCCCACAACCCCAGACGGAAATTGTCACATTTTGACCATGCAAGATCACTTATCTAAATATTGCATAGCAGTACCAATACCAGACATTTCAGCAACTACAATTGCCCATGCAGTTGCCAAAGAACTATTCTCAGTCTATGGAGCCCCTAAAGTAATTTTAACTGATAAAGGCACTTCATTTATTGGTAAATTAATGTCAAAATTATCAAAAATATTTAAAGTCAAACAAGTAACAACCTCCGGTTACAGACCCCAAACTAATGGAGCATTAGAACGTAGTCATGCAGTATTAGCCGATTATATAAAACAATACGCTACGGACTGCGACGACTGGGACAGATTATTACCCTTCGCAATGTTTGCTTATAATACTTCAGTACATGAAGCAACTAATTTCACTCCTTATGAGCTAGTTTTTGGTAAAACTGCTCGTACTCCTAGCTCTTTTCCCCAAGAAGAAAAATTAGAAACCTATGGTTCCTATTTAACAGAGCTTATAAACAGACTAATCGAAATAAGAATTTTAGCAGCCAAAAATTTAATAGACTCCAAAACAAAATCCAAAGAAAGATACGATAAATCGATTAAACCTTTCTTAGGAAAAATAGGCGACAAAGCCTATGTCTTAATAGAAGGTATGAAAAGAAAATTTGACCCCCATTACCATGGCCCATACACAATTGTGGATATCCTTGATAAAAACAATGTAATCTTAATAAATGCCAATGGAAATAGGTTCCAAAAACATGTAGATAAGTTAAAATTAGCATATGAATAAAATAATAACATGATTTTAATTTTTAGATGTCAGAATCAATCATTTTCACTCCACCAATCCAAGGAGAATTGGTAAGAAATTATGTGTTCCCCAAAGGAAACATTGACAATATTAATTACCCAAAGGGAATATTGGAAGAACTGACTGCAGAATATAATTTGGATAAACCAACTTATACCGTGGACAGGACCACTGGTCCTGAATTAGGTAGACTTTGGAGAGTAAAATGCATAGTCACAGATAATAAAAACAGCAACGCATTTATTGCAACTGGCGATAGTTGTAGAACTATTCGAGAATCGGAGCATTCAGCTGCGAAAATCATATTAAAAGAATTAGACAAAACATATTATTTTAGCGAAGAGGAGAAACCACGATCATTAAAACACAAAATTCATGTTATGACACATGAAGAGCCTTCGTTAATAAAATTGAAATTGTATAAATGGGAAAATTGCTGCGAATATTGTTACAAAAGAGGACATACAAAAGATCACTGCTATAGCGTGATTAGGAATAAGAAAATCCTCAATAAACAAAATCCATTTAACGATAAAGATAATGATTCAGATGATTTTTGGGATATACCAGGTCCCACTTGTTCATGGGACTAAGCACCCAAAATACAAAGTTTCTCTTTAACAGTCTGTAAAACAAATCAATTCCTTTAAACTCATCAAAATAAAATATCAATTACTAAATAAATAATTAATTAATTGCAATAATTACAATAAAACAATATTATAAAAACAAGCAAATGTATGAGTCAATCAAGTTTGAATGAACAAATCTTTCTATTTTACACCATTAACATGAAAGTTGAAGCTAATTTTCACGATGAAGATGTTATTTTAACATGTTGATGATACGAAATTCAATTGTCACAAATGGCATTAACTTTCGATTAATTATCAAACGAATCAATTCTGTTGAGAAATTCCTAAGATATTAAGGAATTTAATAATAAATGTACATAACCGATTATATTCAATTTTTATTTCACAATTTAACATGAATAAACAAATAAATTGATTAATTAAACAAGAATATTGTTAACCGTAATCGATATACCGGGAAATTGACAAATCAAAAATTAAAATGACAAAATCTCATTTTAACAAATAATCTTTAAATTATTACGATTAATTATTGTAAATTGACCATAAATTATAATATGAAATTAATAAATTAAGGTCAGAGTATTATAAATAACAATAAAAATCTCAATTATCTCATTATCCAATAGTTTAAACACATAGAATCACATTTTACGTCATACGCCAATTTTATTGTAAACCGACCTTAAATTTCATAATATAATACAAGAATTAAGTAATAGAATTATTAATTTAAAAGTTCAAATCATGAATATAGTAAAATATATGTTTTTCCAGAAGAAATAATAAAAACGGAATATACCTATCCTTTTCTAAAAAGTTAAATCCTCATAAATAAACAAATTCTCTAAATAAAAATTTGAAAAATATACTCAAATAGGATCAAATAAGTAATAACTTATTAAATCAAAGTATAAAATTCAAAATTTTGTAAAATATTGCAAATAATAACGAAAAACGGAATACTTCTATCCTTTTCTAAATTTACGTATAACGTACCTTTTACGAAATATACGCATTATTACAACAAAAACTGTAAATTACATGAAATAATAATATTAAACACTAAATTTTAAATAATTATATAGTTAATTGATAAATAAACAATAACTAACAATGCAATCCCAAATAAAAATATCAAACATAAAGGTACACTCATCAAAACTACTGAAAACAAAAGTCCCTAGATAAAACACTAGATGATAAATATCAATAAATATATCATGGTGAATTTAAAGCTAGTGACTTCACAAACTACTTAAAATAAAATTCCCTAGATTCCACAAAAATCTAAAATTCCCCATCCACATTTAAATTCATGCACAAGTGCAAGTAAAAATAATAATGAAACCCGTAATTATGGGCTTCTCTATATACACAAAGCCCATAAATACGAGCCATGAGTATTATGCCCATATTTATGTGCTCAACTTGCGGAGCTCATAAATACGGGCCAATCAAAAAAAAAAAAAAAGAAGAACTAATAAATAAAACACAGACACAAATAATTAAATTTAAAAATTTTTATTTATTATTAAAAACCTAAATTAAACATACAAAAAAATTAAATCTAACAACTAGGCCCAAAACGGGCCTGACCAGGGAACAAGACGTATCTCCTCCCGTCCCCAGCGACAATAATTTTTAAATTAATGTAAGGAGGGGGTATAAAAACCCTTCCCCCTCCTATAAAACGGGTCACCAAAATATTCTGGTAACCATAATCTGAAACATAAAAACAAAATACTATTAATAAAACATATTAAATATGATAGAAAATAATAAATTAATTAAAACAAAAAAAATATATATAAATAAAATTATCACCTCCTTCATTGGGCCCAGCGTGCCTCCATCGACGCCCTTCCTCGTTAACATTATTATTATTTTCTAAAAGCACACAAAAAAAAAAATTTATTAATTACTAATAAAATTAGTAAATATTAAAATTAAAAATATAATTAATTAAAACAAAATGTCACTCACCTCCGTCCATCTCAATGTTTTGTTTTCAAATGAGTCATTTTCAAAAACTGATGATCCTTACAAATTCTGAAGAGATAAAAGCCCTTAGATGAGATCATGAAAAACACAGCATCCAAATCAAATCAACAACCGATAAATAAAAACAATATAATAATAAAATAATAATTCAAAAACAAATACAACTAACTAACAACAATATAAAATAACTGAATTCAAACACTAAACAACTAATTAATGAATCAAATTACCAACCGTCAAAATAAAGAAAACAATATGATAATATAACCACCAATTATCTAATATACCGACTGTTAATGAGACACGAAAATTCAAATTTTACCCCTATATTGAAGATAAATTTAACACAATATTATTAAAAATAATGTGATTATTAATTAATGAACAAAATGTTTATCAAGATGTAAATAATTATAAAAATCACATTATTACAAAACCTATATAATCATAAATATTATACTTATATTAATCACTCTATATAACAAGCAATATTACTAAAATGATAATTATATAATCAATACCATGCTTAATAAATAATTACAATAATTAATATATTACACCAAGAATTACATATTGATATTATTAAATAATCAATTAATATAACCCTTATTACTTATGAAAAATATAATTAAGAAATAATAATATTAAATAATTATATTACATTATTACCTATTATAATCAATATTTTAATTAATTATTAAAAATCATGAAGTAGAAAAAACACTTGGATCAAATAAAAACACTACTTCAAATTTTCATTAAAATTAAGAAATATAATAATCAATTATAATAATACCATGTAATCAATCGCCCAATATTACAATCAACTATATGTATAAATATAATAATCAATAAAACAAAAAAAAAAAAAATTAAAAGAAGGACGAAAGAAAAAGAAGGAAGGGGATTTGGCGGTCGCCTTCTTCTTTCCTCCTCATTTTAATAAAAACCTAAAATAAGAATAAAAACTAAAAATATATTTAATGTTACAGATGGAAATTCCATTTTTGGGACATATATCTGAAGCTGTAAATTACATATCAATAGCTTTCAAAATATTATTATTGTTGATAGCATTGATAGTAGTTAAAAACCTATACGTACTTTATAAAGTCGTAACAATGAGAAGACAAAGATCGAATAATCGATCCAACGTATAAAAAAAAACAAATATGGATTATTGGTCCAATTGGAGCTCACATACATTGGGGACAATGTAAACTCTAAGGAGGGAGGACCAGGCCCAAAAATCACGAAAAATTTAAAGAAATAGAGCCACTAACAGAGTTGAAGTAACCAGGCTACTATAAACCGCCAAGAGGCGACGCAATTCAAACCAGCGCGCTGGAAACCTTAAGCTTACAAACATCGACCGCATGAATAGATCTTGAAGCTATGTATATAACGCGCATGCTTTATTCGGCAACCATCATGAAAAAGCGGCAAACAATTCAAATTCAAAATTTCAAATTCGCTCTTACGATGGAAATCGAATAAAAATTATAATAAAAATCCGCATTATTGCTTATAAGTACTAAATATCCCTTAATAATTAGCTTATATTAACAAAAATAATAACAATAATCAAGCTTCATTATTAATAAATAATCAATAATTATTAATTCATGTCAACATTTTAATAAAATATTAATTCCATAAACATAAATAAATGATTAAATGGATTGGAATAATATTTTATTAATCAATAAAATACTAATAATAATTAGAATAACATAATAGCATGATTAACAACAAATAAGTTTAAAAAATAAATAAATATATATATATATATATAATATTGATAATTATAATTAATTACAAACATTAGTTTGATCAAGCAAAAAAAAACCATAGTTATAAAATAAATATTAATCAAATTAATGATTATTAACCAATTAACAAACTAATTAATTAATAACATGTTAAAACAATAATTAATCAATATTAAATTAATTAATTATTGTTATAATTTACGTCTTAATGAATAAATTAAGGATAAAAATTTTAATTTTAAGAATATTAATAAAATCCAATTAAAATATGAAAGAAAATTAATTATAACATTATTAACAATTATTGTCAATAATAAACATCAATAAAAGTCTCTGCGTAGAGCTGAAAGTATCGGGGAGGCATGAGAGCAACAGAGGTTCGTTGCGAGGCAGTAGTATAAGCCGTGTGGCTAACCGAGAGTCCCACGCCTCCTACCCAATAGTAGTACGAGCAGGCCCACGCCTCTCTTATACGGTGAGCGAGATCAAAAGGCATTAAAGTCTCCGACTCATACAGGTTCGATGTCGCTTACACTCTTACCATGCATGTTCGCTTGTTACGTCTCTCGCTTTGAAACCCTAATATAATTGGATTATTAATGATTATCGATAAAAATATCGATGCAACAGTAAATTACATGACTATATAAAATTAATTTGACCAAATTAAACATAAATAAAAAAAAAAAATTTTTATATATATATATATGTAAATAAATAAAATTTATCATGAATTACAATTTTGTTTATTGATTAATTGATAAAAATAATTATTAAATAATGAATGAAAATTTAAATTCATGAAAATATGCTAACAAAACTTCAAAAGGTAAAATAAGCCTCAGCCAATAATGAATAAAATTCTGTAAAACAAATACTAATATAATCTTATTATTGAGAAATTAATCATAATAATAATTATATTAATAACAATGATGATTACAATGGTAACAAAGGCAAAAAAAAAAATAACTAATTCGCACAAAAGAGAAAATTCATGAAATAATGAGAAAAATTATATATAGTTTAATAAATAAATTTAATAAAATATTCCTGTTGTGATTATAGTGTTAATTATGGTTATTAAATTTAAACAAATAAGCTAATTAGCAATTTAAAATATTCTATTTATAATGTATGAATTAAAAGAAAAGAGACATGGGACTCTCGGACCGCATTAAACTATTTGCCGACTGTACCGACGTTCCAGGCGTTGAAATC